TATAGTAATGAGTCATTATGAGCATTGTAGTTCATTATTAATAATTATGTATAACAGGATATTGTGAAAATTAAGTTACGAAATTTTTATTAAAACGTTTCTTACATACCATTATATTGGCTGGGCCACAAAAATATTTGTTGTGGGCTGCAAGTTTGACATGCTTGCTATACAATAACTTCAAATATTGAGCTTTGTCAGCTTCTACATTTCCCCTCGAGCTTCAGTTCCATAGGTCCAACTGCCTGCTGGATGCTACAAAAACTTCAAATTCTACTTTTTCAAAACTGAATTCCTCTTCCCTTTAGCCCCAATACCAATAACTGGTTCCTCTGTCAGAATTACTTCATCTAAATAAATGACACTATAAAATACCCTATTGTCCACAGAAAGAATATATGCATCCCTATGTTCACTGCAGCCTTATTTACAATAGCTAAGATCTGGAAACAGCTCAAGTGCCCATCAATAGATGAATGGAAAAAACTGTGGTATATTTACACAATGGAATACTCTGCAGTTGAGAAAAGGATCTCTTAACCTTTGAGATAGAATGTAGGGACCTGGAGGGTTTTATGCTAAGCGAAATAAGCCAGCCAGAGAAAGACAAGTATCACATGATCTCACTCATATGTGGAATCTAATAAACAAAATAAACTGATAGACAAAATAGATTCAGAGACATGGAACAGACTGATCTTAGTAGGGAGGGAAGAGGTGGGAGGGGAGAAAAGGAAGAGATTAACCAAAGAACTTACATGCATATATGCATAACCCATGGACACAGACAATAGTGCATTGGTTTGGGGGAGGGCAGGGGTAGAAAGGGTCAAAGGGGGAGAAAAAGGAGACATGTAATATTTTGAATAATAAAATGGGAAAAAAAACCCTATTATCCAAAACAAAACCTCAAGGGTAAACTTTTAATTTTTTTTCCGTTATCATCCAAATCACCCATCCACGCACATATTCAATCATTCATCATATCCTATATAATAAAAGCTTAATATGCTAAGTGTCCAGATGACCATTCAACCAATCAAAGTGTAATATGCTGATGATATGCCCTAACCGGTTTGGCTCAGTGGATAGAGCGTCAGCCTGCGGACTCAAGGTTCCAAGGTTCAATTCCAGTCAAGGGCATGTACCTTGGTTGCGGGCACATCCCCAGTAGGGTGTGTGCAGGAGGCAGCTGATCGATGTTTCTCTCTCATCGATGTTTCTAACTCTCTATCCCTCTCCCTTCCTCTCTGTAAAAAAATCAATAAAATGCATTTAAAAAAATAAAAATCATCATTCTCAAAAAAAAAAAAATATGCTGATGATATGCTAAGGCCGCTCAACCGCTTGCTATAATGAGCACTAACCACCAGGAAGCAGACAGTTGACCAGTTGACCAGTTGCTATGACGTGCACTGACCACCAGGGGGCAGATGCTCTGACCAGTAGATTAGCTTGCTGCTGGGGTCTGGCCGATCACGACTGAGGGAGATGGGCCAGACACGCCCTGGAGCCCTCCTGCAGTCCCTGCCCAGCTGGCCAACCTCCCGCGTCTGTCCCCTGGCCTGCACCCTCTCACAAACCAGGACCCCTCGGGGGATGTTGGAGAGCCGGTTTCAGCCTGATCCCACAGGTCAGGCCGAGGGACCCCACTGGTGCACGATTTCGTGCATCAAGCCTCTAGCATATACATATATTCTTGGTACATAATTTCTCTTTTTTTGTTGTTGCTGTTAATCCTCACCTGAGGATATTTTTTCCATTGATTTTTAGAAAGAATGGGAGAGAGAGAAAAACATCAATGTGAGACACACTCATTGGTTGCCTCCTGCATGCGCCTGGGCTGGATCAAGCCTACAACTGAGGTCTGAGCCCCTGACCAGAATGGAAGCCATGATGGGCTGACACTCTAACCACTGAGTAACTGGCTAGGGTTGCACCTTAATAATGTCACAGCACAATGGTAAGGAAGATCATTTAATTTGCTTTCTCTGACTTACAGGTAAGAAGGTGAGTAGTATGTAAATTAATGCTCTAATATTGGTTCAAAGAAAAATCTAAGGGAGTAAAACCTTCAACATAAGATTGTATTGCTCCATTTACGAAGTAGAAAATCTCAGGCTAATTCCCAAAACATGAAAGGTCCACATGCATAATTTATGAATGAGCTTCAACTGTGAAAGCAAATTAACTCAACCAAGACAAATGAGAATAGAAGAGATTTTGGACAGAAACTCTAAAGCAGTGGTTCTCAACCTGTGGGTTGCGACCCTTTCACAGGGGTCGCCTAAATACATCCTGCAAATCAGATATTTACATTACGATTCATAACAGTAGCAAAATTACAGTTATGAAGTAGCAACGAAAATAATTTTATGGTTGGGGGTCACCATAACATGAGTATCTGTATTAAAGGGTCACGGCATTAGGAAGGTTGAGAACCAGTGCTCTAAAGGTAACCATGTACCAGGGTAGGAAAAAAGAGACAACTCTAGAAACTGACAAAAATCATCAGAGAAGGCACAAAAAACTGAAAAGAGTAACATAATCAAACTATGCTTAGGCTATTGGGTCCCAAAAACTGGTCTTCAGTGAGGTGAGTTAAATACAAAAAAAAATACTTCATTTTCCATAAGGCTAGATTTACTCAATAAGTGCAACATGACATTTCTGCAAATCTTCTACTCGTTTTTTAACAAAATTAAAAGTTGGCAACCCCACACTAATCCCAAAAGTTTTTTTGAAAATTATACTGAACTGGTATATACATTTTTATAATGTTTTGTTAATTAAATACAATAATTTGGAACCACTAAAGTTGTAATAAAACTAATATTATGTTATATACAAAATTAAGTATTAAAAAATAAAAACTATGAGGCTGTCATTTCTAAATATTATTTAATAATTCCAATTCATATTAGCTGATCAAAGGGGTACTGAACAAAATGAAAACATAAAACAAGTAAATGTAAAGAGATAAGAGTTTTAAAAACCCATTTTGGAGCCATTTTTCTGTAAGTTACAGAATCATTAACCAAGAGACCATGTCCTATGAACTTCATAATTATATGCTGATTTATATGCAATAATTCCATTAAATCCTTCTAACATTTTATTATTCATTCCTATGCTGGCAATTTCAAGTAGTAAAATAATGAACTTTTATTTAGGTAGCGTTTACTTTCAGAAGTATTAAAAAAAAGGGTAACTAGTGCATCGAACCAATGATTTCATCAAAATTTTTTAAACTGATGCCAGGCAGGAGAGAGTTTAGTCAAAGAACAGTCTAAAGTAAAAAATTATACAGATTATATTCAGATACAGTAAAAATATAATTGTGAGGAGTAAAATTTGAGTAACAGTGTAATAATGACCTGCAAACACACAACAAATTATCTTTCATAAACATCTATATGTAATTCCACATAGAAGACAAATTCCAAGTTGATAAAATTCATAAATACTATTTTAGTATTTTTTTAAATATATTTTATTGATTTTTTACAGAGAGGAAGGGAGAGGGATAGAGAGTTAGAAACATCAATGAGAGAGAAACATTGATCACCTGCCTCCTGCACACCCCCTACTGGGGATGTGCCCGCAACCAAGGTACATGCCCTTGACCGGAATCGAACCTGGGACCCTTCAGTCTGCAGGCCGATGCTCTATCCACTAAGCCAAAAACGGTTAGGGCTTTAGTATTTTTTTAAAATATATTTTTATTAACTTCAGAGAGGAAGAGAGAGAGAGGGAGAGAAAGCAACATCAATGATAAAAGAGAATCATTGAGCCACTGCCTCCTGCATGCCCCCTACTGGGAATCGAACCTACAACCTAGGCATGTACCCTTTATCGGAATCGAACCCAGGACCCTTCAGTCCGCAGGCCGATGCTCTATCCACTGAGCCAAACCACCTAGGGCCATAAATACTATGTTATTTTTCCAATGACTTACAAATTCAACTTCACAGATGAACAGTCAACAGAAAATCTTCTAGTGCCAAATATACAAACCTTTCCACAATAACGATCTTTTTAAAATAAATTTTAAATAAATATATAGTGTCAAGTGAAGGAGTTTGCTTAACTACTGTCCATTTCACAGCAATGGAGTGAAATGGCAAAAGCCATCACATGTAGGAGGTACTTTGACTAAGAATACTTTAAAGGTATCCATTAGTTTTCCAAATTCAAAAAATGGACTTCATCATAAGGGTGGGGGAAGCCTCAATATAGTTATCCAAATTTCCTTTTAGTACAATAGCCATTTCTGTTTTCCCAGATTCAGCATTAAAAAACTTTACCCAGACCTGCCACTGTTGCTCAGTGGTTGGGCATCGACCCATGAAACAGGAGACCATCTATGGTTTGATTCCTCGTCAAGGCACATGCCCAGGTTGCAGGCTCAATCTCCAGTAGGGGGCATGTAGGAGGCAGCCGATCAATGATTCTCTCTAATCATTGATGTTTCTATCCCTCTCTCCTTCTCCTTTCCTCTCTCTGGAATCAAAAAACATATTGTTCACTTGTGGGTCTTTTGACCTTTTCCTCTGAGTATAAAGTCATTACAGTTTTGTACTTTAACTTCAAGTAAGCTCCTTACAAATAGAGAATAAAATCAAAGAGTACTTTTCCCTTTCCAGAGGTGAAATCTAAAGTTACTCTTTAATATAGCTAACTCAGCCAGACTCAAGAAATCTAGTGGTTTGTAAACAAACCATTAACTGCTCTTAATTATATATTAACAAAGCATGTTTATTTCTGTAGTAGAAGCTCTGACCTTTTGAACAAATTAAAGAAAACTAGGAATGTCAGGATAGAAGATATTTGAAAACCATGGAAATACACAAAGTTCAGTCTTTGAGTAATTCTGTAAACATACCAATCAAAGGTGATTTGTCTACATGTTATAAACTCAACTACAGCATAAATTTGAAAGTCATCTGAGTATAATGGGGGGGGAAGTTTTAGGTTCCAATCCAAACTAAACCACTTACTAGTTGTGTGACCTTGATCAATTGACTTCTGACACTAATTCCTCATCTGTGAATTGGGGGAAAAGCCTTCATACCACATAGAATTATCCTGTGAATTAAATGAAAGAATTTAAGTATCCCCAGTACATAATATATAATCAATAGATGCACGTAATGTTGATTGTTAACACTTATTATGTTAATATGACAGGCACCATACTTTACACATATTATCTCATTTAAAACTCCCAGAAAAACTATGGAAGTAGGTATTATTCCCATTTTACACACGAGGCTTAAAAGTTAAATACTTTATTCAATACACAGCAAATTAAGTGGCACAAGAGTCTTAACCACTCTTCTGATATTATGTGCTTTATTACAACAAAGAACTTTCTCATACCTTCACAATAATCTCAAAAATGGGCTAGGCATCATCTTCATTTCCAGTATGTGGCAACAACTCAATAAATGCCTATGATCATACAACTAATAGAACCAGAACTTAAACCTAGGTCTCCTGCTTAAACCAGAGTTCAATCCATAAGACTCTGGTTTTCTACATTATGCTAATCCTATCTAATAAAAGACAAAAAGGGTAATTAACCGTACCTCCACTACGCTTCCCACTGGCAAATCAGCACCATGTGCAAATTAACCGCGATCCAAGATGGTGGCTAATTTGCATACTGCAGGCAGGGCGGCG